GCGACACGTTCCTATTGGACGTGGGCAGCTCAGGAGATGTTTGACGCTGCAGAGCAGTGCAGCCAAACGAGAAAAATAGATAGGGGCAGACAAGCGGCTACACACTCACTGCCCACTTGTGTAAAGAAGACGAGAGAGGAAGAGAGGGAGAGAGGGATTCGAGAAAGCGGAAAAGAAAAACATATATATATATTATCGAACGAAACGCAGCCCTCCCTCTCTCTCTCTCCCCCGGACACCCCCACCCCGCGATCTGTTGGGGGGCGGAGAGCGCGAGAGAGAACCACACGGGTAAACAGGTTAAGTCTTCGCTGACCGGGAGTGCACGGTGGCTGAGAGCAGGTGGATGAGCGGCGGGCGCTGGGAGGGAGGGAGGGAGGGAGGCTGTGCCGCGCGCGCACGCGCTCGCTCGCTCGCTCGGGCAGACGGTGCGCGAGCGACTTAACTGACATGACGGCGCGAGAGCGGCGGTTGGTGGAGGTGAGGTGAGGAGGGGGGGCGGCGGCGGCAGCGGCAGCCAACGGTCGCGAGAGGGGAGAGAGAGCGCGAGCACCACCAGAGCCGAGGAGAGGAGAGGAGAGCGGGGCCCCGGGCGGCACAGAGCCTCCCTCGGCAAGAACCGTGTCTCTCACACACTCTCCATACCACCACCACCACCACTTCCCGTGACATTTTATTGCCGTGTTTCTTCTTCCCCGCCCCGCAGTCGTGACACGCCGCGACGGTACAGGGAAACAGCCGTCTCCGCTTCAAGTGCTCTTGTTTGTTTCTCCCCATCCCCCTCTCTCTTTGGTAACTATAAGTTAAAGGCCTTTATACATAAATATACACAGTACGTACATATATATATACATATATATATCCTTCATCGCGGGGTGGGGTGGTGGGGACTCCGGAATCCGGGGGAGTGAGAAATTGAGCGTGAAATCAGTGTTTTGTTGGTAGCGATCGATCGAGACAGATCTGGAGCAGTTCAAACACATCCAGAGCGTTCGTGTGACCAGGCACTGTGGACACACACTCTGCTGTGGTCTGCGTGTTTGGCGAATATTGTTTATCGGTGTATTTGAAGCAGGGCTTTGTTCTTTGCAAGAATGATCTAACTAAGGTGCGTACTGTACTGCATATGTCTTTCAACATGCAATGGTTGAAACGTGTGATCCGACAAGAGATGGCATCGTGGACATTCGGTCAGCTGTCGGCTGTCTGGGTATTCGGAGGATATTGTTTATTGGTGTGTTTCAAGCGGGACTTTGTTTTTGCGAGAATGGTACATGCATTTTTAAATGCAATACAGTAGTAGAAAGACTACCCTATGCTGTTTGCATTGAAATGAGAACAAGCTTTGGATTACTTCATTTCCCCTGCTCTCCTTATGACTTGTGTTGGAGTATCATGTCCTTGGTTGCTGGCTGCCCTTTCCCCTTCGCCTTGGGACGTGCCCCCCCCACCCCCACTCCACCCTCCCCCATCTGAAAGCCGCTATATAGATGTAATTTTGTTGTTGTTGCTCATGTCACCATTCTTTGTATGTGAGCCCTGATGGTGAATGTCAGTGAGTTGTTTGATGTTTATTTGGCATCACAATGAATCCTCAGATATCCACCATATTCACTCTACCAGAGATAATTGATCACGATGAGAGCATTTTTATCTCCTCATTTCCCAAGCCTAGGACAAATATTTTTTTTTGCCCACCCCTCATTGCCGTGGTTGAGATTGATTAACATGGCGGGAAATTGGGAGGCAAGAAAAACAAAACCTTGAAATCTTCTAGCTCTACACAGTTCAGGATAACACCGCGAGTTGGATTTGATCATTGAACCTTTCGGGAACTTCAAATGTTTTTAGGGAAGACTTTGTACATTTTGTAAAAGTGAAAGTGGTGTAAAACATGTAGGTAAAGGAGGATTCTATGGGACATAAAGGGCAAAGATGTGAGCTCAGTATATACCAGTGAAAAGACTCATCTATAATACTGTTGTATAGTAATTTTAAACGATAAGAGCCAAATGAAGACAAGTTAGCAGGCAGAAAAAATGAGGCCAATATAAGACATCAAAGACCATCTGGTGAGATACTTGGCTTGGATGAAATGATGCACCTTTACCAGAAAGGTTACTAAATTGTTGGAAGAGCTGACTTGGTTAGATGGAAATCTGTCAATGTAGGGTTGTTTTGTACTGGTAGAGAAAAAAACATCTTGCAATTATTTGGAAAAAGTACCTCTAATGTTTCACAAATGTTGCTCTCCTGGCCAACAACATGACTGTTTGTAGGACATTACTTTGCGAAAGTTGGTTGCTGCGTTCACTTACAAATATGCTGTCACGAAACTTTGAGAGATGTTTTGATGTGATACAGCATGATATCGAATGCAAAGATTATTATTAATATTTGAATACTGTGCAACAAAATACTTGGTGACTGGTAATCTTGTTTGTAAATGTTTGTAGTAATGGATGCACAAGTCTAGCCTGTGTAGCTTGCCTGTTTGCTGTGTTTTCAGCTAAGTTTATAGTTGTTCAACTGTTTGTAGGACACCATTTAGATGAGTTACATTGAAACTATTATATGGTTGCTTGGTTCAAAATAAACACTTGCCAACAATGTCTTAACTGAGAACTTTCTGTTACTAATCTAAAATGAGTGTATAAGCATCGTGGCAAATGAGAATTTTAACTTCATATGTACATCTGCCATATGTACTTTTTAGGACAAGCATTATTTGAACAAAACATGAATCCTTTAGCAAAAAAGTTGGATATGGAAGCAATTCCTACGATAAAAGGTGGTTAAAATTCTTTGAACTGCATGAGACGTTTTACAGTGAGCGAAGGAGCTCACATGTATTGCTTTCCTTTGATTTTGAAAATTGAACTGACGTCTGTACAGAAAATTTGTTTTAAAATCAAGACTAAGAATTGTCCAAAATTTGCACCCTCTGAAATACTAAGGAAAAAGGTCTTGAATCCCTGCAGAATTTCTTCCTGACGGTATCTAGGGAACTATGATCAGTGAGTACTTAAAAACTCTGACGATAAATTAAGTTTACAGAATTTGAGTATCGATAAACAGAAAATAGAACTATTTGTGCTGACTTAAATTGTGTGAAATTAACCTGTCAAGAACAACTGTGTGCGCAGTAAAGTTTCAGTTGAGTCTCTTGTGTAACTATGGGCAAACGTAATTCCATGGAAATTAATTTTAGTTGCATAAACATTTCTTAATTTAGTGTCATCAGAATGAAAGTAACTTGATGTGATTACATTCAGTGAATTGTAGTGCAATTTTATTAGACATAAAATGTTATTAGAATTAGCTAATGTGACAATCTGGGAGACTACCTATCAAAATGTATTGATGCTATTTGTTCCTTATGTAAAATCCTTAAATACCTTAATTGTATTCTTCAGATTATACAAATGATGTATTCTGGGATGTGCTCGAGTAAGGATTCATTGAATCTAATCTCTTTGACATTAACGATAGAGCACAAGATATTTCACCTCAGACTACAGGACATAGAAGTTTCAACAAGTCCCTGTAGTTAATAATCATTGCATTTGACTTATCTTGTTGTTGAGACATCTCAAAGCGCTTTATAGGGTTTTACTGTGAAGTATAGTGACTGTATATTTATAGGCAAACGCAACAGTGATGTCCCACAAACAGTCATGAAGTGAATCACCAATTTTATTTGGAGATTGATGGCATGGACACCAGGAGAAACTCTTTAATATAGTGCCATGGGATCTTTAATGTACACCTAAACCATAGCTTAACATCTCATTCGAAGGACAGCACATCTGAAAATGTGGCACATCACTAGCATTGGAATGCCAACCTGGACTGAGTTCAATTATCGACGTGTGGCTTGAACTCACAACCTTCTGACTTAGAGTCGAAAGTGCTACTAACTGAGCCAAGCTGATACACTATTGTCAGCAGTTACTCTTTATTTCACTCACCCATTTTTACTTGATATACATATATACATATGATATACAGTGTATATACATTTGAGGATGTGAACACAGATTGATATCCTGTGATATCCTTACCTAATCAAAATCTATCGACAGACTCTTAAGACAGATTCACAGAGTGTGGAAATACTGTAGTTAGAGAAGTAAATTTACCAACTGTCAGTCCAGCGCTTGATTACAGATGTGTTGATTTTGTGGAAGTGACAACTAAGAAGTCGTTATAACTTTTGAGAAACTTAAGATAAATGCTGTCTGCTGTCACATCTGAAAATTGCATAATTTTTAAGTTTTGTGGGCGGTAGGTTTCCTTGTGAGAGTTGGTCTTAGTAAACTGCTCAACTTAATTATCATTAGCAATAAGCACCAATATTAGAGTTGTGAATTTAAGGCTTGTCTTTTTTTATATATATATAGCCCACGTTAAGTAAATTTGTTCATTTGTGTGCTTTTAAGTTAGTCTATTTTGGCAATAGGGAGTCAGCCTGACTTAATTAATAGCACCTTCACCTCCGAGTCAAAGTTGTGGATGCATGCCCCGTGTTGGGGGTTTGAGCTCAAACAGTTTAGATTAATACTCCAATTTAGTGCTGGAAGAGGTTTGCATTATCAGAGGTGCTTGTAAGATAGTCTCGCCCATAAAGTATACAGTCAATTCACTTTACAGTATATTCTGTGATGCTCTTTGAGACATCTCAAAGACATGATGGTAATAATAATAATCCTTGCATTTGATATAGTGCTTTTCACGTCTTCTAGATGTTTCAAGCGCTTCACAGAATATACTATAAAGTGATGGTAATAATAATCATCCTTGCATTTCATATAGTGCTTTTCACGTCTTCTAGATGTTTCAAGCGCTTCACAGAATATACTGTAAAGTGAATTGACTATATATTTGTGGGCGAAACCTGGTAGCCAATTGCGCACAGCAGTAATTGATTATTGTTTTTCTTTCCTGAGGGATTATCAGGCGTGTGGAGTGAGGAAACTTGCCCAAGGTTTCGCCCTACCGGAAATCGAATGCGGGTCTCTCGCTTGTGAGGTGAGTATTCTAACCACTGAGCTACAGGACTCCACAGGATAAGGATACAGGATAAGGCGCTATATCAAATGCATGGATTATTATCCGTTGTGTTTGTTTGGTAATAAGGTGTCATCCTGATTTAATTAATAGCTGGAGGAGCACTGCATTGTCAAAGGTGCCATCATTCGGTTGAGATGTTAAACCGAGATACTATTTGTCAGTTCAGATTGACGTTTAATATATCACAACATTACTTGAACAGAGAAGGGAGTTTCTCCAATTGTTCTGGCCAGCAATCCTCCCCCCAATAAAATTGGTCGGTTATTTCATGGCTGTGTGTGGGACATTGCTGTGTGCAGATTGGCTGCAAGTTCACCTACAAAACACACAAATCATTCTACTCTTCAGTAAATCCTGTGAAGCACTTTGAGGCATCCTCCTGATGTGAAAGGCACGTTGTAAAGATTATTATAAGAAGCAACCTACGTTTTTTTATCAGCAACAACTCACTTTCTAAAAATTTTACTTCTTGATTAGAAATCATTTTTTGCAAAATTCATTGCCTTTATTTTAGTTTATGTAGCTCATAAGTTGAAATCTAATTTTAAAATGCACATTACAAATTAGTGGACTGCAAATCATCAGCTCTTTTTGATTCACAATCGTTCATAGCAAAATGCATTGCCCTTATTGATAATTGTTCTGAATTTAAATTATGATTTTAAGATGCACGTTACAAATTAATGACCTACAAATCATAGGCAGCCAAGCAAATGTTGATGAAGGAAATCCAGGACCTCTTCGCATTTGGCATCTGAGATGAGGGTGGAGGTTGCTTGAGGATTGGTATGGAGAGACTATGTGGTGGGAATATGGAATAAAATATACAGGCACTTGATTTGTTTTAGGCTTCACATAATATAGCTTTAAAGTTTACAGCGCTGGTGTGACATCTTGGCTTTGATTTACAACCAGGTCAAATGGGCATGAAATCTATTCAAGCTGAAGCTTTTGTGATGTCTAATTGTTTGATTGCAAGGGACAGAATACACTAGGGAGGTGTAATTTAATGCTGTTCCTCGTGATCAGGGGTTACAAGCTAATTTCTCTTGGAGTGTCTTTTTGGAATGTTTATTGTTGACAACTTTGCAGATTACTAAGAGGGGGAGGGACAAGAAATTCCTGATCTGTATTAGAAGGTTGCTTGCTGTGACCAGGCTTTTGTAGTATTACGGTCCTTTTCTGATGCATTTCATCTTACTCATTAAGCTATATATTGTGTGTAAAAATATCAGTTTTAAGTGTTAACATTTAACAGTCAGATTAAAAAAATAGAAACTGCAAAGGGAATGTGTCCGATCTAGGCTCCTAGATGTATCTAGGTATATATATTGTCTGCTGCTCTGGATTGGAGCTCCCCACCTCTTTGTCTTCCACTTTTACCGTTTTTCCTCTTTTATCCTTAGTTTTCTTTTTCTCTGTTTTTAAGTTGCTTCCATGTAAATTTAAATGTAATATGTCTTTGCCCTTTTCCCTCCTCAACCAACATTTACCTCAAAAACTCATTCATTTGGCTACTTATCTTATTCGTTGTGTATTGCTGGTACAAATCCACTACCACATTTGCCTCCATAACAACTTGCATTTATATAGCGACCTTCATGCGGGGTTAGTGACTCGGAGCTATCATATAACATTCCGTATATGAAATATTATTTACTTCCTGATGATGAACCCTTTTTTGATTGAGTCATTAATTTAGGTCCTGTTTGCCTTTTGATTCAGGAATAATGGTGACAGTCTGGCTCCTGTGCCACCTACAATATTGAGATAGACCTGGTCAAAGTCATATCTATCTACGACTGGGTACCTTGCCTCCTTGTGCTCTTTGATCTCTCTACTGCATTTGACACTGTTGACGACTCTATTCTTCTCTACCATATCTCCTTCCTGATTTGCCTTTGAGGCTCTGCATTTCCTGGTTTCACTCCTGTCTTTTCCAGTGTCTCAACTTTGTCCTTTCCAATGGTCAGGTTTGGTATTTCCAGGGCTTTTTGGAGTCCTGTAGCTTACTGGTAGGGGAGCATCGCCTCACAAGCGAGAGTACCTTGGTTTGATTCCTGGGCAGGGCGAAACTTTGGGCAAGTTTCCTTACTCCACAAGCTTCTATTTACCTAGCGCTGAGGAGGAACCCAGCTGTTATCATCTGCTGGGAAAGGCTTCCATATGTATGTGATGACTCCCAACTTTACCATTCTGCCTCTGTCCTTGATTCCAGGACCACTGATATTCTGACACAGCATGTTAGACATCAAGTCATGGATGAGTTACAATTTGTCCAACTCAACATTGACAAACAGGTTATTCTGCGTGGTTACTGTCAGCAATTCCTGACCTCAGGTTATGACCTATGACCTCCCTAATTGATCCCTTCAAATCCACAGCTTCAGCCACCAAAACTCCAGACCATACAGAACTTTGCAACTTGTATCCTCTCCCGCATCAAGGCCTATTACCCCCATTCTGATGTTCTTATGTTCTTGCCCGACGCCCCCAGCAGGTCAATTATAACTTACTTTATTGTCATCTTCAAATGCCTCCATGGCCTTGCACATTCTGTCTCTGATTTCCTGCCAACCTACTATTCCGGCACTCCCTCTGGTCTGCTTCATGCTTGTAGCCTGTTTCTCCCTACTTTTGGCGGACGAGCCTACAGTCACTTTGCCTCCTCTCTGCAACTCTCCCAAAATCACTCAACCTCACCCTTCCCTATTTGCTTTCAAATCCCTGAAAACGTACATCTGATCTTTTCTGAAATTCGTTTGTTTCCATAACTTTTACTTGATTTTGTGCTGTACCTGCTTTATTGTGTGTCATGAGACTTGGAACATTTATAGTCTTTGCCAGCACTTCAATACAGCCCTGGGGCGTGCTCCATTGTTGGAGGTGCCGTCCTTTGGATAAGACACTAAAACAAGGTCCCATCTGCTTGTTCAGGTGACATTAAAGATCCCATGGGACTATTCGAAAAGAGAAGGGAGTTTCTCCTGGTGTCCTGGCTAACAATCCTCTAAATAAAATTGGTTATTCATTTCATGGATGTTTGTGGGACATTGCTGTACGCAAATTGGCTGCTGCATTCATCTACAAAATACACAGTTACTGTGTTACAGTATATCTTGTGAAGCACTTTGAAGCTTTCCCCGATGTGCAGATATGTCAATTCTAAGGATTATTTCGATTATTACTATGTTTCTTTTATGGGAATGGAGTTATATCAATATAAGTTGTCAGTGTTCAGTGGGAGAATGGATTGATGCCGATGGCTATTCAGGTAGCATCAAATGGCAATTTGTCTATAACTTTTGCATGTTCTCAATGGCAAAATAATTAGACATGTGTAACTTCCCTCCCTCAAATCATGATTTTTTAATGAAAGCTTTGGTTATATTATACACTAGGTACTACTTGAGTGTGGTGCCTACTTTTAGATGGTATGAAGTGTATACCAAAGTATTATATTATACCAAAGTAGAATGCTTGCACACATGTCTTGTCTGATTGAGAGAAAGAGACGAGTCTGCATGCAGATTTTGTATAATTACAGACAGGAACTGAATGCTTTTGACAGTTTTAATGCTAGAAAAGTGCATGTTGTCTTTTTGATTTTTTTCTAACAAAAATGTTAATCCAAGATATGCATTTTAACAGTATAGTATGTTACAAAATATTGCATTATATAGGGATTAGCTGGTTTATATCAGATTGTGGTTTATTGTTCATTTCATTAAAGAATTGTAATGCAGATGATATAGCATCATGGAATCTAGATATGTATCATGACAACTGCTTAAATGACCACTTTGAATAAGTTGGATCCCATGATCACTGCAAATTTTAAGAATTTGGGGAGGAAATACTACTGGTAAATGGAGGGATTTATGGGTCCTCCTTGTTCATTGCACTGAAACGATTCTCCCCATTGCTCACAAAATGCTTTTAAACTCATTGCAAAGTGAATAGTCAATGTACAGTATGTAGTCTTTCCTTCCTAGTATGGATAGGTTAAAACTTTCCATTTTGAGAACAAGTATTGAGGTTTCAGTCTTTTTGTCTTGCTCTCTGTCTCTCGCTGTATTTCCATTTAGCCACTCCACAAGTTATTTTCCAGAGCCCGTGAGAATCAGTCTAGGTGCGTAGACTGTTGAATTTCATGGATATCTGTTTTGCCTCTGAATATTGTAAAGTTCAGGATGGAATCTATACTGATAAAGACGAAGTGTCTATCTGTATCTGACTCACGCAATAACCGATTGACGTAGAGGTATAAATAGTAGAGGCATGATTTATACCCCATTGGAACAGTCTTGTAAACTGGCAGTGTCATGGACATATTTTGTGGTGGGGGGAATCTCCTATCGTTGATGAGCTATATTAAAAATTGCTTTAATTAAGCCCCAAAATATGAGGTATGCATTGTATTCTCCAACTACATGGCAACAAAGGAAAGCACAGACTGTTCAGAGAGATACATCTATATTCTGCAACAAATATATCACACGTTTTTCTGATTGTCATGGGAGATAGATTTCTCCCATGTGGGAGAGACAGAGAGAAACTGAGCGAGAAAGACTGAGATGGTGAGACAGAGAGAGAATATATTATAAAGTGTAGTGACTGTGTGTTTTGTGGAAAAGAGAGAGGGGGACTGGGAGAGAGGGACTAGGAGAGAGGGACTGGGAGAGAATATATTATGAAGTGTAATAACTGTGTTTTGTAGGAGAGACAGAGAGAGACTGTGTGAGAGAGACTGAGAGAGAGAAATGGAGAGAGACTAAGAGAAAATATATCAAAGGAGTCCTCCCACTAAATCCTCCCAAAAGGAGTCCTTCCAGCTGAGTCCTCCCAAAAGGATTCCTCCCAAAAGGAGTCCTCCCAAAAGGAGTCCTCCCAAAAGGAGTCCTCCCAAAAGGTGTCCTCCCAAAAGGAGTCTTCCCAGCTGAGTATAGAAAAAGATGAAATGTCTGTGTGTGTCGATCTACATTCCATATTGGATCCTTTGGTTTCAAGCGAAGCTGCAACAGATACAGATAGTCTAGATATATCATGACAACTACTCAGATGGCTACTCTGAATACTTTGGGTGCCATGATCGCTGTACTGAGGGAAGATTGTGAAATTATCGCCTTTGAAATCAATCTTCCTCTCTCATATGACAGACAAAAGGAGCTAGTCACAAGACCACATAGTATTAACTTACTACTGCCATTGTTAAGAATGACATATTATTACTGCAGTACATATTGAAAATGAATTGGCCTTTGTTTCTCTTAAAACAGGTATTTGAAAACCCAACTGTGTTTTCTAAATCGTAGAACATTTACTTTTAAAGAAGAGCCTATATCGGTAACAAACTGGAAGGTCTACGGTTAGATGAGAGCCTTATCTCAGGCTTAAGGAATCGGAGGGAAAAAGGAGTAAGAAAACAGATGTCTTCCCCAGAAATAGAGTGCAAAGCTCCAAGCTCAGAGTTGGATGAACTTGACCCACTTCTGAGCGACTGTTCAGAATTGCTGGATGTGAGTATAAAATATGAAGTGATTATAGTATTGTGTATGTTAAGCTACCAATATTTTAAAATGACATTCATTATCCTAGTCAAACCTGATTGAGAACTATAATTACATTACACTCCATTGACTTGTTATTGGTGTATATATTATGTTCAGTGAGTGAAAATGAACAATTCACTCCCAGAATATTTACAAATAATGTTTTGTGGTAGAAGTAACCTGCTATAGAATTTCTATAAATTCAAGATACCAACTGCCAAAACAGACAATTGTTACAAAGATTTATAATCAATTGTTTAAGAATTTATTATTAATACAATTACAGAGGACAGTTGAATTTGTTTTACATCAGTGGATTTGATTTCAAATATGTTATAAAGTTTTGCATAGATGGATTATATTTATTAAGATAGTAATTCATACCTGATATTCTCAAAATGTTTTGTGCATGGATCATTGTATGGTGGATGGGGAAAATTGTTCCTTATGTAGCATTTATGCTTCAAATGGCACAGATTAGTTTGGAGTCACCTGGATTCTTTTTCAAGAAAAGTAGAATGGACTGTTGGGTATTCCCTTTCCAAAACTTGATACTAAAAAAAAGTTTGTTATGTAGGAACGCTAATTTTTTTTGAGTAGAATTGTATACTTAATATTCATAACCACAGCTAATTCTTAAAAGTTCACTTTGTTCACCATATCTGTTTGCCACCACTTCATACTTCTATAGAAATTACTGGTGAAGCGAGCTTTGGTCTTAACATCTGTAGCTATACTATTACATATATATGAGTATGGAAAACACATTCTATTGAGAGATATTGGCTTAACCTCTAGAGCCTATTGTTATGTTTCTCAGTTATGTGCAAATCATTCTTTCGGTCTTTCTCAGCAATCTTGGTGAACACCAGAATGAGAAAATAAATAGCTTTTGTATGTCGCAGTTTTAAAAATACGTCTGTTAATACAACATTTAAACCACCTATTCAAGGTATGAATATAGAAAAAAGTTGTGCGTTTGCTGTCTCTTCTTAACATCCTGTAGAGCCATTTTATTAAAAACTATCACCAGTCATCCAAAAACCACTCGACTCGCGGTACCAATTCTACTCTCCAGTATATCTTTAAGATTACATTGTGTTGTTTTCCAGAGGAAGGATTGAATTCACCATTGGAATACTTACATATGAGTTTGCACAACCCTTTGTTTTTGGAGTGAAATTCTGGTAGATAAAATCAGAATAGTGCTTAATGTGATTGTGAATTATCACCATTTTGGAGGTTTTAACACTTTTTGAAAACTTGGAATACAATAATGTTTTCAGGAAATCTTTCCTATCTAGGATGAACACTTTCTGAATTGTTTCGACATATTCTTTGAAATTCTATCTCATTAAAGCTTGGAGAATTTTTTTAAAATCAATTTTATTATACTTCAAGGAGAAAAATGTGATTCGAGATGATGAAAGTAATCCTTACATTTAATATTGTGCCTTTCATTTTGGGAGGGCGTTTCAAAGCATTTCACAGAATGCACTGCAATTTTGCAGGTGAATGACACCAAAGATAACTGATAAAATCATATTGATTTAAAACATTCCATTCAAATTGTTTGCCAGTGCCGATTTGGAATTAACTACGCATTCCTTATGCATGAACCTCATATTCTCAGTTTTTGGACTTTGCCAAGACAAACTGATAGGTGCATCCAATCTATTGATCTTATGTTTTTGATGGAATTTTTAAAAAGTGCAACACAGTAACTAAGTGGTTGATATATGCTATTTTTGTTTTCAAGTAGAGCTGCCATGTAGTAAAGGTGGGATACTCCCATTGAACTGTTGTATTCAAATGCTGAGTTAAACTTATGCTAACAACTCTTACCATAAACAAAATAAATTGCATAGATGGAAATATAGTACTTGATTCCTTATTCATGAGCCTCATATTCTCAGTTTTTGGACTCCTACCTCTCTGACTCCCTACCAACCTACCTGCTTCCTCCGATCAGCGGGCTCCGGCCTGCTCCATGTCTTCCGCCCGACCCGCCCTACCATCGGTGGCCGGGCTTTCAGCCTCTCTTCCCCCACTCTCTGGAATTGCATCCACGCTCCCTTTGCCTGGCTTCCTCCCTTGCCTCCATCAAGTCTGGTCTCAAGATCCCCCTCTTCGATCATGCCTTCAGTCGCCCTCCCACCTCTCTGCCTTCACTCTACAAATGTAATTTTGTTGTTGTTGTTGATTCTAAAAGCACTGTTGCTAATCTAATAGGTATGTATGAAGTATGCCAAAGTGGGCTGCATTTGCACAACAAGGCATTTAACTTTGAGGTTTATCTTGCACAAGTGTATTTGTGATGATTCGATCTTTGGTTTCAATAAACTGTAAATTGCTGTGAAGCTATTAATATGCTGCTTCCAACAAGGACAAAGAAGGTAGGACAAACGTTCTTTAAAGATTTATTTTAAGACATTTAAGAATGTTTTACTGCATATTTTAAGAATTTTTTCACAAAATGCACGTGTGATGATATACATGTATGAATAGGTGTCAGCGTGGCTCAGTTGGTAGCACTTTGTATTAGCTGAGTCAGAGGTTGTGGGTTTAAGACTCGTGTAGGAGTTTGAACTCAAAAATCATGTTGCAATGTTGGAAGTAACTTCAGATGAGACATTAACCCAAGGTCCTGTCTGTTCAAGTGAATGTCAAAGATCCCTTGCCACTATCTGTGTAAGAAGGAACTTTGTCCCAGTATCCTAGCCAACAATTCTCCAGATAAAATTGGTCATTCTCTTCATGGTGTTTGTGAGACATTGCTGTGTGCAATACTGGCTGTGTTATTCACCTACAAATATAGTCACTACACTTCACAGTAAATACAAAGATAGTTTCTTGTATCACTTTTTGTAGAAAAGATTTTCCTCTGGACATACTACGATTGTTTCATTACTTTATGCACTCGCTTTGCAAGTGAGAGACCTGAGTTCAATTCCAGGCAGGGCGAAACCTTGGGCAAGTTTCCTTACTCCACACGCCTAATAATAATCCCTCCAAAAACAATAATAAATTGGTCATTTTCAATCTACGACTGTTTGTGGGACATTGCTGTGCGCAATTGGCTGCCGCGTTCGCCCACAAATATACAGTCAATTCACTTTACAGTGTGTTCTGTGAAGCGCTTTGGGACGTCCTCCCGACATGAAAAGCGCTATATCAAATGCAAGGATTATTATTATGTCTGTCTTCACCCTTTCACAAAGCTGAAAAAGTGATTTTATAGAATTAAAATTCCTGAAATTTGACCAGTACTCAAAATGCACACTGCTTTATTGCTGTTCAACTGCAGTACCTATAAATATTGGAGGATTACACAATCTAAATATACAAAAACTATAGCTATTTGTAATGTAATTTTGTTGTTGTTGATTCTAAAAGCACTGTTGCTAATCTAATAGGTATGTATGAAGTATGCCAACCCAACTGTCCAGCGCCTTGGGACGTCCTCCTGACGTGAAAGGTGCTCTATAAATGCAATCTTGCTGTTGTTGTATTTCATGAAATCGATATCCAGTGGATTCATAATGATGGTATGACAGAAGGAAGCAGTAGTGGACAGAAAGGTCACAGGCTAACTAAATGACAGTTATTCTCTGACCACATTAATTCTGAGAAAATAATGTTTCATAAAACCAACCTACTAATACGACAGATTCCCTAAGGTTGAAGGAATTGGTATTGTGGATCTGACTGAACTCACCTCACTCACCCAAAATTAGTGAAATTCACCTTGGACCAAATATTGACCATCTCCTGTTTGTGGCTTGACAATGTCGACTCATGCTGTTGTGCCAAGCAACGTTACCTCAATGCCAGGACAAATGATTCAGGCAAATGGATAAATCAGAAATAAATATGCACTCTCCTAGATTGCTAGTTGCTAATGTGTTGATTTAGTTTCCTTTTCTCTGTTTTTGTTACTTCAATGTTGTGGGTTTAAGAACAACTTGTTGAGTTCATTTGAATATGGTTTGAGTTTTTTTTGAATGTGAAAGGAAATGCCTTTTTTGAGATTTTCTCATTATGTCTGCAGGGAGAGCATTTATCATGTGAATCAGCTGACTTTCTTAACTCATGGAGTCCTGTAGTTCAGTGGTTAGAGCACTCGCCTCGCAAGGGAGCGACCCTGAGTTTGATTCCCGGCCAGGTGAAACTTTGGGCAAGTTTTCTTACTCAACACACTTCTGTTTACCGAGCAGTGAGTTGGAATCCGGTTGTTAGTCGATTAGCGATCGGTTTCTGGGAGTAATAATTCTTTCAAAAAATAATAATAAAAATAAATTGGTCACTCAATCCATGATTGTTTGTGGGACACTGCAGTGCGCAATTGACTGCTGCGTTTCGCCCACAAAATATAGTCACAACACTTTACAATATATCCTGTGAACGCTTTGAGACGTCTCGAAGAGGTGATAAGGCGCTATATCAAATGCAAGGTTTATTATTTATTATTATCAGGAATTTTTCTCTGTGTTTTTTTTTGTTTCTCCAGTAAACTTCTCTTTGTGATCATCATATTGGGGTGAATGAGTTATGTTCTTCCCTTTTAATTGTTCTCATTGTGTGAGTGAGGGTGTGGGTTCAGTCTTCTTCTTTGAGGGACAAAATATTAGCCTATGTAAAGGGCAAAATATAAATTCAAGTTGGTGCTATTGTTTTGAAGATTGGGTTATTCTGAACCGGCATGAAGGTTTTTGTCAGTTCTGTTCACAAGTTCCTTTGGTACTTTTACAGAGTTCCATACAACAACATAGAATGATGCAGCAGGGAAACAGGACGTTTCCATCACCAGTAGATCTCTATTATCTTCTTCACATATGCATTAGTTTTTCTCTTAAAAATACATTCATGCAATTTGCTTCAAACGTAGCTTCTGGCAGTGAGTTCCACATTCTCACCACCTTCTGTATAAAGAAATTCCTTCTAAACTACCAATTAGATCTGTTATC